ATTTCTGCAATTTTCCATTTACTGTTTTCACACTGCAGTTGACTGCAGGTCATTGAACCCATGGGAAACAGAACTACGGATAAAGGGGGCACTGCTGTACATGGCACATAGCAGGTACTCCATAATTGTAGCTTTTATTATTTTCAGTCACTTTTTTAGAAAAGATCACTATGGAGAGGTTTGATGATCTCCTCTTTAACTGACTCCTGGTTCTCTTGAGGCCACTGAATGGATAAAAATGTCCAACAGCCTTTATGTTTGGTATAATAGTTGTTTGGGTAAAGCAGTAGTAAAGTTAAGTCATTGGGAACTAGCTGACGACAACAGGCAGGAGAACATCTAAAGTCAAACAGGAGCAACTGAGTTCACAGCATTTTGTGGTCCTCTCTAACAAACTAAGCACCAACACTGACTTCCTGACTTGTTACAGTTTTCTCAATCAAAAAAACAAAAGAAACCCCTTGCCCCCACCCATTGCACTATCTTGTTATTTCTGTAGGATTTGCTTCACAGTTGTCACTGTAAAGTTATTGGTTAAAATTAGCATCTGGTAAATCATAATTTGGGAGAGAGGAGAAGTTGAAAGGAATTATCTTTCCCCCCCTGTGTTGTCTTTTTACTTTCTTTAACTTCAGGTTGCAGCAAAAAGTTACTAAAAGCAAACCTTGATTTGTTATAGGAGACCCCAGGAATTATACTTGAGTTTTTTCATATTATTTGATCCGTTTTTGTTATTGATGTGTCTTGAAAGAATCAGGGGGAAATAGAAAATTTCAAAAATGTTTATGCCATTGGAAATAACCATTCATTGGCCTTTGCTCCAGAAAGCTGCCTTACCATTTTTTCTGAGTGAGTGTAGGCCAGTGGAAACCTCACAACCTATGATGGATTTGCTAAAAATAATGGAAACTTACAGAATTCTAGAGGGTAGTTAGTGCACAGTAGACATCCTTAATGCACACATTTCTAACATTGACAAGAGTTTTGTATTTGAATGTCATGTTAGTTTGCTGTTGCTGTTTACTGCAAACTCAGCTTAAATCAACATGTAAATATTATCTCACAGTTCCCACGGGTCAAGAGTCTGGGCATAACGTAGCTGCTGCTCTTTTCAGGGTCTATCTCACAAGAATGCAATCAAAATTTTGTCCAGGTTACATTCCTTTCTGGAGCTCAGGGTCCTGTCATGAACTGTCCTGATTGTTGGCAGAATTCATTTCCTTGTAGTTTTAAGACTAAGGTCCAAGCTTTCTTAAAGCTGGGTATTAGCTAGGGGTATCACTTAGTCCCTAGAGTCCCTGCAATTTCTTGCCATGTGGCCCTCCCACAGGCCCTTTCCCACACGGTAGCTTACTTCTTCAAAGCCAGAAGGAGAATCGCTCTGACTTCTAATCTCGCTTTTAAAGGGCTTACTTGATTAGGTCAGGCCCACACAGGATAATAACTCTTTTTACTTAACTAAAAGTAATCTGACTAGGGACCTTAATTACATCTGCAAAAGTTCCTTCACCTTTGCCATATAACCACCTCATCACAAGAACGGCATCCATCATGCTCCTAGGTACCACCCACATTCAAGGGCAGGGATCCCTACAGAGTAGGTACCCTAGGAGCCAGGAACTTTGGGGCCATCCCAGAATTCTGATTGCCACAAGCACTAATGATGGAATCTAATAGAATCTTGGTGAATACTATATTTGGCCTGTATTCCAGGGTTTTCTTGTTGGGCTTCTTTCTCACATTGCTTCCAGAGAACCGAGTTGCTGATGGCTAGAATTTCATGTATGTTTGCCTTTGCCCACTAGTTGAAATGACTCAGGTACCTTAGAAAAATGGCAAAGTGGAGAAAAATTCAGAATGGCTGATGGTTAGAAAAGCAATGACAAGCTAAAGTGCTTCTTGTAACCCATCTTCTATTCTATTTACCACCATTGGGTTTTTTATAGCAATCAACAGGAAGAAATGTCCCATTGAAACAAAACAGTATGCTAAATTTCTGCTTCTCATTCTATAAAATTCTTCACTTTTACATATTGAAAAGATTTGTCTATTCCAGAAAAAGGGGTAGCATTAATTTATCTAAATCTTTTTAAAAAATACAGTATTTCTTTAAAAAAAAATACATTGAAATTAAGGTTTTGATTCACTAGGAGAAAGACAATCAGTCATTAAATCAGTATGGTAATTGTGTCTTACAGTTGTGCATACCTAATTGGTAACAGAAATTTTAACAAGGAGTTTATTTTTAAAGTAATGTACAGAAACCAAATTTGATTTCAGAAACAAAAGTCAAGATTAATGTTCTCTCATTTATTAATATAAAGCAGTTTACTAACATTTTAAAATGTCATCTGATCAATTAAGTATACAAAGCAAATTAACCAAAACATACATTATGCATATGGAGAAAATATTAAAGTATATAATAAGGAAGTGTACTCAATATGGGTCTTTAAAAATTGAAAACACAAAGTAATTCTGAGATTCACAACAGCCTAGGGTTCATGTTACTTGACTGAGATAAATTTAGAAAATTACACATAATTTGGCTTGTTCTTCTTGCATACAGACAGCATTTCTTCCCTCTCTAACCCTCTCCCAGAGGATTTGAATTTTGATGTTGTTGAACCCATTCACGCACTTGATCATTCTTGATGCTTATATTGCCTAAATTTTCCATATATGACACCTTTTATAAAGGTAAATAGTAGATTTAACATATGTCAATATTTTTGAAGTATTTAGAATAACATGGGTTGGAAAAGGTTTTCAAAGAAACAATAACTTTTTCTCGAGTCCTACTGTTTGCTTTCTTTAATAGAGTTAGTTTAGCCTTTGCATCCATCAGTGATTCCATAGTCTGAGAAAAATTCTGCCATCTTAAAATTTTTGACATTTTCATTTTCTTTTCTATTTCTGTTTCATAACACGTAATTCAGGCATTTTACTGAGTTTAAATCAGTGGACTGGCTGGCAGCCTAAAAACTTGTTTGTACAGAAGAAATTTAAATGAATTGGGAGATTTGTTTAAGAATTGGTAGCTCTTTATTTCTTTCCTTTAATTTTTTAATTTGAAATCTCCTCTCTAATGTAATTACATAATTAGACCTTAAGTTAGTTTACTTGAAATGAATGTTAATCCAAAACCTCAATCGGTCCTAATGATGTTAGGACCTTTGTATGGTGTGACTTTGGTTACTGATTCAAGAAGCGAAGAAATACAGCTAAAGTCATCTAGTGACTTTGTTTTTAATTGAAATCACAGAGATATTGACCTAAAATGGATGTGATGTAGATATTTCAAGTCAGTGGAAATCACACACAACTTTATATTGCCCTTATGTCTAGTTATACAAATGTGCTTATGCGTTTGTGATTTGTTCTTTTTTTCCCCTTGGGGTTAAAACCCCAAGTTTTGCTATTTCCAAGCATCTATTAGTAAAGCTACAGATAAAGCTGAGACCTACACAAGTTGTTTGAATATCTTTTCAGGGCACATGCTGTGTTCCAGGCGCTTTGTTAGATTCTGAAAATGGTCGGGGGCGGGGGGCGGTGCAGAGGGGGCAAAACATACATTATCTGGTCCTGAGGGAATCTGCAGTCACAGTGGAAGCTTGTGTTGTAGAATCTCATTAAGGAGTTCTATGATCAGATATAACAAATACATATTTAGACATAGGCCAGACTAATTAAATTTTGGAGCAGATCTATACTTAAAACATACTTGGCACAGTGCATGGTGGTTAGCAACTAGTCAATAACAGTTACATGTTAATACCATTATTATTTTATTATTTATTTTTACAGTTCACCCAAATAACTGTGGTCATAGGCAGAATGCAACACATGCAGACATGTATAAGGAAAAGGTGACTGGGTTCTTTGAACAAGAATGCAGACCAGTTTTGGTCTGCACACTTAAGAGAGCCCAAATTGGTCCTGTAATATGGAGGCTAAGAATCATTTTCTTTATTTTTATATACAGGTTTTTATTGTTTTAATTGGCACCCTCGCAAACGGATAGATGCCTCCACTTGTGTATGTCAGCATAGTTGCCGAGAACATGACAAATACAGTAATTATGAGGGACTATTTTCTCATTATTTTCTTCCCCAACATCCCCTCTGCTGGGAATGCTATGAAAACCTTAGAAACTATAGTAAAAATACTATTTTTAAAAACAAGCTATTATTGTATTTTCTTAGCATAAAAGTAATATATGTTCATCACAGAAAAGACAAGTCAGCAAAAAGAGACAATGAAAATTGTCCGAACCCAACACACTGAGAGAACTGCTGTTAAGTCTGTGCCTATGCCCTTTCTCTGTACACAGAATTGTGCTTTTAAAAGGCATCATAGTGTAACATCCTATTTTGTAAGTGCTTCCCATGTCTTTATTCTATGTTGTTGAATAAACATCTTTCCGTGTCATTATTCTTTTACAGTATTATTTGCATTGGTTCTATCTAATGCCAATTGTTGGACAGTTAAGGTATTTTTTTACTTTTTTCTTTGTTTCTATTATGAATAATTTATTGGATGAGCAACTGAGTTGCCATTGTTGAAGGTTTTTTAATGTTAAAATAGCTAAATTATTAAAGATAATTTAAAGTGCCTTTGGTGCAACGTGACTGAGAAGATGAAATGATGGCAAAGAGGTCTCCCTGTGCTGTGCTTCTATAGCATCATTTTTGAAGGGCCTCAGAGACTGCACACAACATGCAACCTTCAGGAAACACTGGGCACATGGCACTCTATATTTAGGATTAATAATGCCAGAATGGACTATGATTTAGTAGAAATTGAAATCATTATGTACAGACTTAACAGGAGACCATTGTGTCCCCTGTTTGTTCCTGTGACAAATTCAAACAATTCAAAACAAATTTTTTATTTACTGCTGGATCCCCTTTTTTAATTCTTTAAGTTTTATCTTTTAAATTGCACAAGCCATTGTCCCATGAATTACCATGTGCTTATCAATCCATCCTTCTTGCCAGGAATGCCATCGCCAACAACACTGAAGAAGTCGGAGAAGTCTGGTTTCAGCAGCCCCTCCCCTTCGCAGACCTCCTCCCTGGGAACAGCATTCACACAGCATCACCGACCTGTCATTACGGGACCCAGAGGTGAGCCACTCCACAGGCACCCTTGGTGGTGCTTAGATCATGGCCTTGGGGCCAGAGTAGCAAAATGAGAGACAATGAGGGCTCCCCCAGAATGCTCCTGAAGGCAGCAAGTATTCCAATTCCATGTCACTGGGGACAGCTTTGGAGTATTAGGGACCGAAGAGATTTGGCATCAATCCCTTGATCCTTTTTTTTATCAAATGTATTGGGGTGACATTGGTTAAAAGGATCGACCAAACTTCTTTCTTTGCCAGTGTGGTATGGCAATGGTGGGACATAATTTGAACTGAACCAAAATCAAATTCATTCTACCAATTGTAGTGTGTGTGTGTGTGTGTGTGTGTGTTTAGGTGAGCAAGTACAGTTGACTCTTCAACAATGCAGAAGTTTAAAAATTCACACATAAGTCCTGGCTGGTTGGCTCAGTTGGCTGGAGTATTATCCTGTACACCAAAGGGCTGCTGGTTCAATCCTCAGCTGGGGCATGTGCAGGAGGCAACCAGTTGGTGTTTCTCTCTCACATGGATGTTCCCTCTCTCTCTCTCTTTCTGTCTCTCTCTCTCTTCTTCTCTATGTCCCCCTCTCTAAAATCAATAAACATATCATCCAGTGAGGATTAAAAAAATTCTGCACATAAGTGGACTCACACAATTTAAACCTAAGTTTTTCAGAGGTCAGCTATATTTTCAATCAGCAATTGAGAATGGGCATATATGGGGGGGCTTACTGAGGTTATATGTGGATTTTCAACTGTGTGGTGGGTTGGTACCCCTAACCCCCACATTGTTCAAGGGTCAACTGTAATAGCTTTTTTCATTTTCTCATCCCTGGTGATTCCCTTTACTTGAAACCTGATTTCAATGTGTGGCACTTTGCATTGAGGTTGTTTGCATCACGGTGTTGACTGTTGATGTTCAGTCTTCATTCACTCCTTTTGAAGTGGTAGATAGTTTGTCTGGTTTTCATTGCAATGTTTTCATTATTTTTGCCTTGTGTGCTTTTAAGTTTATTATTAAAATGTGTCCACAAGAAATATGATTTGTATTTCACATTAAAGACAAGCTTTAAACCTCAAGAGAATGTCAGCAAGTCACTTAACTTGATCTCATTGCAAGATGAAAATATTTATTAGTTTGTTTATGAAACTCCCACAGTAGGAGTATGAATAATTGTAACCATGTTTGCTTTCTTCCATCAGCTTTTCAGTTAGGTAGGACTGTGATCTACCAGCTGGTATCATAAAATAGACTAGAAAGTTATGGTCTCTCATCTACTTTGACATACGCCTGGGAAAACTGATATTTCTTGCATGAATCCCACTGTTAGTCCCACAAATTGGAATCCCTTTTTTAAATGCTCTGTGTGGATATTCACAAAGATGGCAGTTGAGAGAGGTGTCTCATGCCCTGATGAGGAAATCACATTGTAGGAAATAAGTATTCTGACTATTGTGTGAAGCAATTTCTATCTCCATAATTATGAAAACTTACTTGCTCCATCTTTAAACATCTTGTGATCAGTGACAGACCTTTCTCAACTTACTATTTCACTTGTTTCTGTGTGTGATATAATCAGAGAGGAAATATACATGTGTGTATGTGTGTGTATTTTTCTTCTAATTTTAAAACCTTGCATCTGGATTGTATTATAAAGTCCCAAAATGCAGAATGAGTCTCTTTAAATGGGTTAGTATTATGCTATTATCCTCATAACCAATATTTATTAAGCATCTAAACTGTGGTGGAAAAAAAGAGATATGAAGCTCTTTTAGCCAGAAAGAAGGTTTTTGGTCTCAGGGAGATAAGGCATGTGGTGTTTCTCATCTTTTTATTGTTAGGTTAACATATTCTAAATGGTAAGTGAATGTTAAAAGCAGAAATTTCTGCAGGAGCTCAAAGGAGGGGACTCTAGAGGTTCATTCATTCATTAAACAAGGATTTCCTGAGTGTCTGTCACTGGAATTCAGTGGTTCCTGTCCTCATAGGGCAGACAGTTCCATTCAGGAGAGAGACAGAAAATAAGCAGTTAGAAGAGGATATGGAATGTGCTGTTGCTTATCACCATGTATCAAATAAAGAGACTTCAAAGTGTAGATAACTTGAAGTCAAAACCTAAAGGTTGCATACCTGAATGGATTTCAAGCAGAGGAAAGAGCCATGGTGAAGCAGGTCGGAAGGATCAGGGAGAACAATGTGCTGGCATTAGGGACGGCCGCATATGCTGCCTCTTTGCTTTCCACTTACCTTCTGGGTTTCTTAAATATACTCCCCCAATAAAATGGGGGCAATACTACTGCTGAATACACTTTTCCTCCCAACTTCATATTCTCATGCAGAAACTGTCATAAAATAATATTTGTAGAGACTCTTTCAGGAGCATAAAGCAACGTGCATATGTATTATCGTTTATTCAATACATATTACATGTTGCCTTAAACCATAGCTCTAGAAATGATTATAATGATTCTAGTATTTACCCATGGGTGCCATGATTGGAAGCTTCTTCTGCTGGCCAATCAAGCACATTCGCTAAAGCAGTCCACACTGGGTTGAACCAGAGTGGGCCTCCTTAGCCTATAGAACAATGAGTTTTTATCTCCCATCATACTCATGAAATCATTTTTGAGGAAAAGAGAAAGGTGCCTAGTTTAAGAATTATGGAATACCAAAGATTCTTTGTTTTCACCAGAATTCAAGATGGTTCCCAGCATCCTCGGGTCTCCTTTCTGGAAAGTCTACTCAGGTACCCATTCTTATTGCACCCCGCCCCCCGCTTAGTGGCCTGGTGAAGGGAACTGGAGTAGTCGAGATGAAACTTTTCACTAGCATCTTTGTGGGTAAGAATCACAGAGTTGAGATAGGCTAACATAAGACATTCTTGGGCTAAGATATTTTTAAAAGGTTGGTATTTAGCCTTTCATTATTTAAGAAATATTTGCTACTGGTACTCTGTTCCCTTTTATTCTTCTCCGAACCCATTGGAAAACTAATGCCTAGAATGACATTACATCTGGGACTAAGAGTTGATGTTTTAGGAAGATGAGGCCAGATTGAAGGAGGGGGAAGTCTGCCCAAGGAAATCAGTGTGGAGTAAGTGTCACGTGTACATGAAGGAGAATTCAGCCTTACAAACTCAAGTCACTAAAGCATCCAGAAAGGCAGTCAGTCTTCCGGTGGGCTTGGACAAGAGAAAGGTGTCTCCTTATCAGGGTCCTGGGGCAAAGGGTGGGGGGAGCTCTTTTCTGCACTTTTGCTCAGAGTCACATGGTGTATTCGCCTTTGGACAGCACACAGGTTGCAAGACCTCCGCCTTCTTCCTTAAAATTAAGGAATTAAAATTTCTTAAAATTTATCTGGGATTACGTTGGCTAGACAAATACCAGTTTGTAAGCAATAACTATGCAACGTATCTCAATGACATTTTAACAGAGCTACAGCAAAGCAAGGCCACCTCACTGAAAAAACAGTGGCCCTATTTTTCACTGCAAACCTGAGCTGTATTTGGAAATTTGATGGCCACCTTTTACAAAAGAAACCTCTCTTTGAAGATTGCAAAGTAAAGACAGAATAGGGCCTTGAAGAGAAGCAGATAGCCTAGTGGTTCAGCACAAAGTCTAAGGGGTCAACTGGACCCTTGTCTGAATCCTGTGTCCGCCAATTTTACCAACTGTGTGAACCTGCCAACTTGCCTCTCTGAGTCACAGGTTGCTCATCTACAAAGCAGAGATTACAGTCTCTATTTCAAGAGAATTCTCTTGTCTGAAGAGCAGATGAAATCATATATTTGTAGTCATTCACACTGTTCCTGGAATTAGAGTATGTAGTGAAGTCATGTAAACAATGTAATCACTCGTTTTCATTTAGGCTTTGAAAACTCTCATGCTGTCCATACTGCCTTGGCCTATCAACATCTTAGCCACCCCAGGACCAGCTCTAGTACTGCTTCCAATGAAACCTCCTCAGCTCCACCTGGACGCCTTCACCTCACACTCCTGAAACTCCTTTGGCCTTTCCCCCGGCATTGCCTCCGTTGACATTGTCTTGCTTTGTTAGTTAATGTACGTCTCATTACTCTCCTAGAACAAAACCTCTGAAAGGAAGGCTATCTGACTTCCACTTTCTGGTGTCTTTACTGTGTCTCACACAGTGGGATCCATGCACAGATATTCACTGATTAAATACAAAGTAATGAAATGACACATAAATGTACACAAAAGCCATTTGTCCCTTCCCTGAAACATGGCTTCAGACAAACCAAGGGTGCTAAGTGTCTAACAGTTTACGGAGTGCTTCTTTGCAAGGAATGGGCTAAGGCGGGGAGGAGCCATGGCCTTTCATCCAAAGAAAACGTTTGCAAGATCATAGAAGTAAAACTTTGATATGCTGTGAAAAAGCTATGCTTTTTCTTATGTTTTGCTCTTGTAATCACTTGCCTATTTTCATTGTTATAAAGACAGGGATGTGTGGTTTCTTAAAATGAATGTTTTCTCTGATACTGTGTTTTGTGTGTGTGTGTGTGTGGCTTCAATAAATCACTTAACCTTTCGGCCTCAGTTTGGCCATCCGTGTCCTGGGGATAATACATTGCAAAAACTGTGGCGTTAAAACTAGGTTAAAGGGTTAAAATATTGTGGAGTATTCTGGGGACTAGGGAAGATATTAAGTTTCCAAAAGTCATTTGTAGGTCATTTTACATTATCACAATACTGTGCACTTTAAGCTGGAACATTGGACTTTCAAAGACTTTCTTTTACCAGTGCTTAAAATTTCAAACAAAATAAAGTAGTTATTCATGAAAATTTATCTTATTCATGACAATTTAAAAAAATGTTTGTTCTTCCCTTTTCCTTTTAAAGATATTTAAGTTTGCCTGATGATCTAAAGGCTCTAACTCCTTTTGAGAATTATTTGGAGTAAACATCTGTGATATTTTAGAGTTTCTTGAAAGTTTGTCTCTTTAAAACTTATGTTTCTACCTAAGTCTTTGCTCTTTTCAAAAAC